TCTAATTAAGTATTTAAGTAATGGAAGGTTAGCATCTGACCCTTTTTTTGTTTTAATATGTTGGGCTTTGCTTGGTGAAGCGGCTGGCTACCATGCATGCATCCTTTCCAAAGGGTTGGATGCCACTAGCTCCATATTTGCAGGCTTTACTTCACTGTCGTCAACTCAAATGTGCCTCATTCAGGTAGAAAAGGAGCAAGATTTCGGCGACGAAATGCGTAGGAACTAAAAAATATATATGGTTTGCACGTGATTGAAAATGATATGTCATCCATCCATCCTAGGTTAATATATTGGAAAAATCTTTACTCTGAAAGTACTGATTAGTTTTCAAAAAAAAAAGTAGTACTGATTCTTTGCAGGATATATATTGAATTTTCAGCAGTGTTTCTTTTTTAGAGCTCTGGACCTAGCTGTGCTGTGCCCTGTGTGGATGAAATGAACCGGCCCATTCGGATGGTGCAAAAAGTTACTGTTTAAAACTGAAAGTTACTGTTTATGACTGATTTTATCACAGGTGACTCCAGATTCCTCCAGACGAACCGGGCGGTTGAAATATGCAAGATGCATGCTACTGATCTTGTGCACGGACAATCTCAAAGATAACTGGTGCTCCCTCCCATGTTGGCAAATGTGCCTCTTACCAGATGCGTGCATGCAAAAAACCGAGACATCCAATTCGGATCTGAAAACGTCGTGCTATTTCTGCCGAGACAAGGAGTTCATGGTTTAAGCAGTTGCAACTTGCAACTCTCCATCAGGCAGCAACTCCGTGCCATATCCCACCAGTAAAGCTTCAAATACTTTGTACTATAGGAGTACTTTAAATTTGCAAGATCTATCCTTTGTTCCACCAGCAGCAAGGATCTGAGATGAACAGCCACAAGGAAAGGAAACTGCCCTGCCTCAACAATTCCAAACCCAAGTATTGCAGCTTTCAATCAATTCCCATAGTATTTTTTTTTAATAACAAAGTCGATTTTAATCCCAATCGAACATGCCTAGCTTCACAGGAAGTGCTGTGCCCTGCCCCCTGCTGTTTCAGTTCAGAACAGCAGGTCAGGCGGGCAGGTGGAAGCAGGTGGTGGATGCAATGGCCCTGCGGCCCTGCATTGAAGCACCTGGCGTAGGTCAATGGAGGTGCTCATGGTGGACGGTCAGATGGAGAAGGAGCAGCTCTCTGTCTCTCTGTCTGATGCAATTGGCTGAGGGAGACCGGCAGAGCGCATTCAATTGGCTGCACTGTTGCATGCTGCGCTGCATTCACACAGAGAGCACTGTGCTTGGAGATGAATGCGTTGCCTGTTTAAACCCTTAGTTTAGTTCCCACACTGTCGCATCGAATGTTTAACACATACCTGAAGTATTAAATATAGATTAAAAAATAACTAATTGTATAATTCGTGACTAATTTACGAGATGAATCTTTTAAGTCTAATTAATTCATAATCTGACAATAAAGTGCTACAGTAACACATGTGCTAATGCTAGATTAATTAGGCTTAATAAATTCGTCTCGTAGTTTACCGACGGATTCTGTAATTTTTTTATTAGTATCCGAACACCCTATGCGACACCCAATGTAACACCCAATGTAACATCCGATGTGACACCTCAAAAATTTACTGGCTGGATCTAAACAAGCCCTAAGTGTTTATACACTTGTTTATATAAGTGCTGACCTGGCCAATCACATGTGATTTGGAGTAGAGTTCAGGGTAATACAGTAAACTGTGTTCATGATGATGAAGAGATGCAGTGATGCAGGCCATTGACTTCAACTCAACTGCTTAACCACCCAATAGGTTGTTCACTTGTTTGCTTGCAGCCAAGCCACGTTCAGTTCAGACTTCAGACATCACATGGAGATGGAGTTGGGTTCTGAGAGCTCATGAGTTGCTACTTTCTGATGGCCAGTTTTTGTTTGAGGGTGTTGGCCAGTAGTGCCAACAGAAAAGAGAGACTTTTGGCCTGCCGCGTGTGGCATGAAAAAAAAGGGGGTAATTACAAACAAAAACAGCCTTTCAAGATCATGCAGCCAAATGGGCACCACATTTCAGCATTTGTTGGTTCATGGAATATCTCATCTGCTTTGGTTAGTGTAGTGGTGTACAGCAGACAATCACATTCACTAATTCAGCCTTACTAACCCCTAAAACGCATAGAACAACCCACCCCTGCGTGTTGGTCCTGAAAGCCACTTTCTTGGCATGAAGATAGGGGGGCACCACCAACCATCACTTTCCAATAAAATCTTTTCCACCCTTCTCTGTTCTCTCTCACTCACTTTAACCCTTTCACTCCTTTTTTGTTTTTCTCTATATGGTGACATTTCAGAGTGCTGCCCACCCATCTCCCTTCACTTCCAAGATTGTCACTGTCTGCTTTCTCCACACACAAATACAGAGAGTGAGAGGAATTGAACAAAAGCACCCTGCCACTTTCTACATTCTTTGATGGCAATTTTAGTTTTGTCTAAGGTTGACATATATCCACAGCAAGCAAGCATGCATGCATGGCAGTATATCTCCTTTATTTTGTGCTTTTCTTTTTTACTGTCTCTAGCAACCACGATCCAAAATACAAAAATCCATTCATCTTTTGGATAGCGCTACAGACAAAGGGTTCAATACCTATTTTTGGTCTTCTCCAACAATAAGACCCTCAAAGATTGCAAATGGGTTTTAGGAGAGAGGATACTCAGATTTGGATCATGCCTCTTCTGGTAGTCAAAATAGATCTTCTATATATACTTTGTTAGAGGCTCTATATGTATTGTGTTAGAGATTCATTTTAAGTTTAAGTTCCGCGACGGGTCTCTCGTTCCTGATGGAGACAGCCTGAGTCTCATAGCCGCCCATGCATTCTTGCGGCCATTTTCTTTGTCAATTGTCAGCTGAGGACAATCATGAGTGCTGCTGCCTCCAGTACTAGACTAGACATAGTGGTATGTATGTCATATCACTTTGTGTATACTATATGCTTGCAATCGAGTAGTATCAAGTAGCAGTAGCAGAGCAAAACAAACAAACAAACAAAAAAAACCAAAGCCGCCACAAGAACACTAGAGAATGGTACTACTATAGTCTTTGACATCTCCAATCCTGTAAAGATTGACATGACTTGGGTGAGACGTAGATTCAGGCTTTGTTAGTGTTTGTCTGTACTTGCAGATGATGCATGCATAGCTAGTAGTACTTGAGTACACGTACATCATACACACCTCCTACTTCATGTAATCTCCACAAAATTACAGAAACTAACTAGTCATTGTTTTCGGTCAATGCTATGGTACAATGGAATGATATAAATGCAACAAGAACATGGAAGGAAGGCTTAAAGTGACAAGGCCCCTACCTTAGCTTCTCTCATGCAAGCAAGCAACGAACAAGTGTAACGGCAAAGTTAATGAATGGGCTATGATGGATCTTGAGAAAGGGAGAGGTCAATGTGCCAAGCTAAAATGTCACACAGTCTCACTCTCTTACTCCTATTAGTACCATCAGAGTGCAATGCAATGCATGCTTGGTCCCTGTCTGCACTGTCTCTGTGTGTGTGCCCCTGCTTGCCTGGGCCCCTAACCATGGCAATGGCACGATGATAAGGGCTCATGTCAGTTTTCACATGCCTAAATAGACCAGAGCATTCGCATGGCAAAAATCAAACAAAAACAAAACAAAAAAAGGATTGGGGCCTGTTTTTTTTTTTTGAAAGGCGGCCCTGGTTTTGTAGTGCAAGCAAAGCATGTCAAGAGACGAGCAGAGGTTCCTCGATCGGGGAGCTCTACCTGTCTCCTCTTTTTTATATCACACTTGCCTTTTGGGATGTCTGTTTGCCTACCTGCCTGCCTCCGTCTATCTCAAATCTCAACGCTGAACTGAAGCAGTTATTACCCAGCGCTGATCCATGAGAATTCAGAAACGGACAGCCTGCTCTTGAGATTCAGAGAACTCGAAGCGCCTTCCTCCATCTCAGCCTGCCCATCCATGAATCAATCGCCATTGCATTGCGTATGTATGCATGCATCATGGAGATTCATATCATCTTCACTCAGTCTCGCATTGCATTGCATGCACCGATGATGACAACCAAATCTGCGTGAGAGTCAGTCAGTATGTATGCAGCCAAGCTAGCAGTGAGGCCCAACTCCACAAGGCAAATGCCTGCTGCTTCCTATCAGTTGACAGCCAATTCGCATATCAGTTCCTAACTTCCTATGCGACGCATCATGGCGACGCTCGTGTGCTGACCAGGTGTTAGTTTAGTGCTAGCAGCAGCTTGTGGTTTAAACTACGACGAGTACGGTAACCGGCCTTTATTAAGAAAAGGACCTGACCTGATATGATCACGTACGGCAGAGTCCTTTCGTGTCTGAATGAATCAATAGTATTCGGAGTTTCAGAAACACTGCGCATGGGCTGGAGATTTACTGAATTCATCGTGACACTGAAAACTTGAGAATCGTCTGTCGTCTCTCTGTTTCGGTTCAATGTTTGTAAGGTGTTCTAAACATGTCTCCAGAACCATCCATGAACTGAAGAGACATTTTTTATTTAAAAAAGTAAATTGCAATTGGGCGGATTTTATCTGAGTCCCCGAACTATGAAATCGTACGTTTGGCTCCCTATTGTATTTAAGTGATCTCATCTAGGTCTAAAATAGACATGAGGAGGGTTACAAGCTGACCTGGCCGTCCACGTGGACATGATTTAACTCAGTCACTGCCACCTCGATGACCGGAAATTGACCTTACCGAGGTGGCAGTTGACTGGTGACGTGGCGTATCCTGATTGGAGGGAAGGTGCTGACTAGGCCGGTCCTTTTGACTGTCGGTCAACAAGCGATCTGGACTGTCGGTTTTGGATCGGGCGGGGTAGGAGTCGTCCTCCCCTGTAGCTGTGCAGGGGTGCTCTCCGGTGGCGTCCTCGACGGAGTCGAGGCGGGATGGCGCTCCGGCGGACGATGATCTCCGGTGAGCGGTAGAGCGGGAAGAGGAGGCCATGGCGAAGTCGTCTGCGGCGATTTCGACGGCAGGGAGGCAGCGGGGAAGGGAATCGAGGCGGTGGGCGAACGGTGGCGGTCTGGGAGCTCCGGTGAGGTCAGGGAATGGAGTTGCCTACTCAAATTGACGCCGTGGAGTGGTGTAGAGGCCTCGTCGTGCATCTGCGAACCTAACGGAGGAGGAATCGAGTCTGGAGGTGAGCTGTTGAGGGAGATCGGGAGCTCGGCTGTGTGCTTGGTAATGGTGGCGGCGACGACGGATTTAGGCACTGGAGAGAGAGAGAGAGAGAGAGGTCACGGGAGGGTGAGGCGTGGTGCAACAAACAATGAGCGATGGCGTGGCGGATGACGCATGCCAAGCAACAAAGAAAGCGATATAGCGGCGATGGGGCATTCTGAGCGCATGGCGAGCCGCCGCCACCTCTCTCGTGGTTGCCTGCCCCGACACGACGGCAAGGCATCTCTGATCTCACACGCCGCTTCGCAGGGCGTGCGGCATGGCACTCTCGCCGCCTCGACACGGCGGTGTGGCCCACGCCCCCGCGCTCACACGGTTGTATGCAGCTAGAGCTAGAAGATGGGGCTGACACATGGGCCCGGCCTGTCGGTGATTGGACTGGAAGATTCTAGCCGTGCATGCCACGGCGCAGGGGTTTATGCTTAAATCATGGCCACGTCAGCTTCTAACTCTCCTCGTTTATATTTTGGACCTAGATAAAATTACTTAAATATATTATGGAGCTAAACGTACGATTTCATAGTTTAGTAACCCTGATAAAATCCGTCTAATACTTTTAAAGACCGGCCGTGCAATTTCCTGGCTCAAAAAACTGAAGAGAATGCACGCAGGCAGGGCGGCAGGCTGGTTGGAGTTGTGAGGTCTGTGCAGACGCAGCACAACAGCGCATCAGCTCATCCTGACCGTCCATTCTGTTCAGCCGAGACTCCCTCAGCCGCTCGATACCAGCAGCTCCCCTGCCGCAGTGCCGCCTGCCCGGTTCGGGATTCCGGCATCCATCCGGCTGCGCGGCCGCGGCGCAGAGCAACCAACCACGCAGGCAGACCACCGCCGCCGCCGCCTCCGTCCGCTCCGCGGCGTCCGATCCACCACCAAGAGCCCCACACGACCCACGCGATGCTGCGGAACTTCCCGCAGGCCCGGAGGCTGCTCAGGTCGGCGCCTTCCTTCCCCGCCGGTACCTCGGCGGCTTGCGCATCCGCTTTCCCTCGCCCTCGCCCTTGCCTACGACGGTTTCTGATTGTGATGATTGGTGGTTGGGGCGCAGGCGGATGGGGTTCGAGAAGGAGGACGCCTACTTCTGGAAGCAGATGGGCAAGGCCACGCTCTGCACCTACACGCTCTTCGGCGTCGCCTGGCTCTGGAACGAGACGTCGCCGCTCGGGTGGTGGACGCTCAAGCCGCGCCCCAAGGTTCCTCGACTTCCTCCCGTCTCGTCTTCTCTCGTTTGTTCGTTCGTTGGGCTGTCCTGTAATATCGCGGAAATTCACTGTTTTGTTGGAAGCTGATTAGATACACCCATACAGGTTTTGCAGTTGTGACCTGCAATCCCTCTTTGTTGGTTTATTAGATTAGATTTTAAACTTCTTCCGCCTTGGAATTTGAATATTTCAGGTCTACGTGATTGAGAATGTATCTCCAAATTAGCTTATAACCTGAATTTTATGGCCCTCTTCTGACTCCAGAAGAAGTAATTGCCTTGCCTCATTGCTAGTATGGATCCTGAGATGAACTTTTTTTTTTCTCATGTGCTAATAAAAGGTGAAACTTTGTACAGTGTCAACCCGTGCTATCTGAAAGCATTGGACCTGCATTATGATACCGAAATGGCTATATCTTGGAATACTTCCAGCCTTTCCATATTACTCCTACTTCAATGTGGAACCAGATGCAGAAATGAACCTAAGTACCTTTAAGCACCAGTACTGATTTTGGCAAGGCTTTTCATGGCATGCCAGATTTGGACCTCATTGTGTTGCGTTAATATAGATTCTTCAGATATGGGATATGCTCCCACTACAGGGATCCTAAGTGTGAACTTAAATTTGCTCTTAGTCCCAGGTAACTACTCCCTCCGTTTCAAATTATAAATCGCTTTGACTTTTTTGATACATCAATTTTGCTATGTATCTAGATATAACATAGGTCTAGATACATAGCAAAATCTATGTACCAAAAAAGTCAAAGCGACTTATAATTTGGAACATAGTACTTTCCATTGTGCTGACAAGGATGCATCTCAAGCATTAACAATAGGGTATTCCTCTGTGGTAAATAATTTTTGGATGGAGGCTATGCTTGAAAACATGCTGTCTTTATACAGTGCCAAAAGTAACTTTGCTGTTAAGTTTTCTTGGCTTTCGAAATGCATAGAAAGTATATGATAAACCTCTAATTTGCTGCATTGCATCATCTTAGTCTAAGTGGCCATAGATGATCAGTGTGAATGCTTGTCCATTTTAGCCCGCTAGTTTCTGGTCTCCCTGACAAGACAATCTATTCTCAACATCTTGCAGGAAGAAAAAGAAATGGCACACCTTTATGAGCGCAGGAAGTTCCCGTACCCTGGTGATGAGGAGGCAATTGAGGAGTTCATAAAAAGCGGAGGTGCTCTTGGAACCACAATTGGACCCAAGGGTTTCGCTGATGCCAATATGGATTCTGAAAACATGCAGAAGCAGTTGCAGTCTAAAAAGTTTGAGCAGGAAGCACAGAAACTATGGCTTCGGATGAGGAATGAGGTCGTATAGGAGCTCCAGGAGAAGGGATTTGATATTGAGTGAGTTCAGAATCTGCAAAACGGTCAGTGCTGAGAATATTAAAACCGCTTGCCATCTAAATTGGAGAACTATAACTTATATGAATAAAAAAGGTTTGTAGCTATATTTTAACTGTCTGGCACATTCCCACTTCCCAGTGCTGCTTGATTGTACCGTAAATTTCTCGTCTTGCGGAGAACTGAAGATCTCATCTGATCCTCTTTTAATGTTTCTTATTGCCTGATCATCAAGAAGTTACGCATCTGGAAATTACTCAGGTTTTGATGTTGGTACATGCAACCTATGTGTCACCCACGTCCCTAACTTGAACTCTGAAATGGAATTTAGATATAAATGTAATCGGATGTTGACGATGTAAGAAAGCAGTAACAAGAAACAATTAAAAGAAAACACATCAGGATTATATGAACAATTATGGGAAAAAGCTTTTGAAACATCGTCAGGAGTGTGTGCACCCATATTTGTGACTTTGAGAACATCAACAAAATACAGGAAGAGATTATTGCACTGTAGTGTTGATTTCATATTCTTAAAAGACTGATTTTTCTTTGGTGTTGAATGAAAACTTCAGATTGGACCAACCACTGTGATACAGGAGCCTGTCTGGTTTGTTGCCTCAGTTGGCAAGCAAAATCTGCTAGTCTTTATACATTGGCCTTTTTCCAGACTGCAGCCACAATTTTGCTTTCCAGAAAGATTGGCCAGCTCTTTGTTTGATCCTTGGGCCTCGGCATTAGAAAAAATGGACAGGACTTTTCCATGTAGACTGCATTCATCTATATTCAAATTTGAATAATGGCCAGAGTCAAATGCAGCGTCAAAAGAGAAAAGAAACGCAGCGATATATGTCAAAGCAGGATGCGGTTGACATTCAGCTTTTCAAGTACAGTATAGAGCATGGAGATTCTGCAACAATAGCACATCCTTCTTGGCGATCGTTGACAATATTTCAATTCTCTCGAGAAAAGCATTCTCGGCGTTCATGTGATGGCCGATGCCCAACATGATGCAGTTGGCAAGCCCAAAATGTTCTTCAGGTCATACTCATAGTATCTGGCAATCATCATGCAATTCAATGGACAACAGATAAACGCAAGCATCATATATGTCAGAAAGCCAATCCAAAGACAAACCCAAACATATACATTGCAGGACAAGTGCAAAAAAAGATCTCCTAGTCCAAGCAACTGTGAGGGTATCATTTTGCAGTGGATGGTTGAAGGTATGCAGAGGAAGCAAAACTAGATTCAGATGAGGTGTACATTAGGGTTTATCGTCATCGACATACACATAGCCAGCAATTATTCTTCGAACCCACAAATGATGACACAGGGCAGCAGGTTATGAAAACCACTCCCAAGCCTCCAAGGATAGCAAACAATAGGGCCATATATGCTACACAGTTAACTTCTGAAGCACTAACTGAAACTAACTATTTCTTATTCAGATCTTAAGGCAGAGATGGATCAATCAGGTCCAAGTTGCATATCAGTTCCTGTGCATCATGACATTATACCTTTTTAATTTAGTATAGTAGTAGCTTGCGGTTTAAGCTACAAGTATGGTATGATGCCGGGCGTGGCTTTTGTTAAGGGCCTGATATGATTAGTGCTTGCTGTCTAAGATAATCACCTGGGCCATCTATGTCTGAATCTGAATAGATAGTATACAAAGTCTCAGATACATTGTGCCAGAATTTTTCTGAATTTATGACATTGAAACTTCAGAACCATCCCTGAACAGTTTCATCTCTTGCAATTGAACTCAAACTGAACCTGCTCAAATGCTCAGAGGTTTCTGAAACCATATCCTAGAGACTTCCCTGTCCGCTTAAACTTATCAGTCTGGCTTATCAGTCATAAAACTGTATTTTTTTCTCACAACAAATCAGCTTCAGCCAGCTGATCAGCCGCAGAAACCATCAGCTGAACGGCTTAGCTCTAATGATTAGTTTTCAGAGAGGTTAAACCTTTTGAAGCATAGATTGACGAAGAGAATGCAAGCAGCATGCTTGGTTCAGGTTCTTCAAGAACCTTATGCTGGAGATCCAGTTTTCAAAAATCTATTTTTTTTTCCATCCATTTTCAGGTTGTTCAGGGCGTTTACCAACCAGAGGATTGCTAATAAAAAAAGTACCAAAGATGTTTTGGGTATGATTTTTTCGCTAGACAGGTGCTATATCTGTGCAGAACCGAGCAAAGATCTTTCTTTCTTCAAAAAAGCATCTCCCTGAATGCCCAATCCTGTCTGTCTGTGCAGACTGCAGAGATGCAGGACGTTCAGAGTCACTGATGAATGAAGAAAGTTCCAAGTTCAGGTCTAGATGCAGGGACGTTATGCGGTTATGCCTTTTTTTTTTCTTATTGTTTTCTTTCTGGTCTTCCCAAGCAAAAAAGTAAGATACGCTCGTGTGAGAAAGGGTGCAAAATACGCTTTGGAGTTCTCGAGAAAACACATTCTGCAACACTCGATAAAGTACACTCTTCTTGGTAATCGTTGGCAATATTTCAATGCCTTCGAGAAAAGCATGTAAAACGTTCATGTGATGACCAATGACAGAATGATGCAGTTGCCAAACCCAAATGTTCTTCAGGCTATGCTCATGGCATCTGGCAATCATCACGCAATTCAATGGACAACAGATGAACGAAAACATCATACATGCCACGAGGCCAATCCAGAGACAAACCAAAACATGCATTGTTGCACAAGTGCGAAATGATCTCTGAATCTCCGACCAATTGTGAAGGTATCATTTTGAAGCAGAGGAAACAAAGCTAGATTCAGATGAGGTGGTCACGTCCTACATTAGGGTTTATTATCATCAATATACACATAGCCAGCTAGGAGTATTATTGTTTGCCCCACAAATGATGATGCAGTAGGACAGTAGGGTTATGAACTCCACTCCCAAATCTCCAAGTCCAAGCAAAACAAACAATAAGCTAATATGCTACACACTTAACTTTCTGAAGCGCTGACTGAAGCTATGCAGGGGAAGGGACACAATGCTACTAAAATTGTACAGAAAGGTGAATAAACAGAGGACCAAACCAAGACTCCAAAACCTGTCGACTCGTCTATGTTTTTCTATGGAACATGTCCTACAACAACCGACTGACACCATCTTGCTGCTGCTGCCCGCTAGCACCTACTGTACAAAACTGTTGCCACATCTAGCGTCAGGTGCAAAAATCTCTTCGGTTGTGAGTTCTGAATCATCATTCACGACTGCCTGCCTGATTTGCTGATGATGCACCGTTAGGAGACAGAGGGGTTGACGGTTGGCAACTCTTTCGGGGCGCAACTCCGTTCTGTCTCTCTTTGTGACTTGAGTCGGAGTTCTCTTCCTTGTCATCTGACTTTGAATTGAGAAACCGACCTCCAGCTCCCCTGGCCCTTTTCAAGGCATGCTGATGCCGTGACTCATGAAGATAGGGCTGCAGCACAGATGTAATCGAGTCAGTTTTTTTTTTTAATTTCAGATGACTTAACATTTAACTCCGCCTATGTTGTCTCAAGCAGGTCCCAAGCTCTGGTAAAGGAGGAGGGTTGTGATAGGTGTGGCGAGCCAACGTTAAATCTAGCCATTCTAATGGAGATGAAACTCGAAAGAAAACCATTGGGGCGTAACCCTCTTAGCGACGCGCCATATCGGAACTCGGGTATGGTGTTAAATGGGCAAAGGGCCGGGTCGGCACCCCCTTGGTGACGCGCCGTGTCGCGATCTGGGCATGGTGTCAAGTGAGCAAGGATCGGGTCGTCGCTTCCTTAGTGGCGCGCTACATCGGCGTCCGGGTGTAGTGAAAAATGAGCAAGGGTCTTCACATCTGAGTCGACGGGTGCGAAGGGTAAGGAAGCTAGTCGAACCAACTAGGATCCGTTTAGATAGTTGGAATGTAGGGTCGCTTATAAGTAAGTTAAGAGAATTAGTTGATACCACGACTAGGAGGCATGCAAATATATTATGCGTTCAAGAGACTAAATGTTAGGGTCAGAAGGCGAAGAAGGTGGACAATACAGATTTCAAGCTTTGGTACACAGGGACAGTCGCGAATAGAAATAGAGTATGAGTTTTGATTGATAAGAACCTCAAGAATGGTGTGATGGGAGTGAGAAGACAAGGAGATAGGATTATCTTAGTCAAGCTTGTCGTTGGGGATATTGTCTTGAACGTAATTAATGCGTATGCCCCCAAGTAGGCCTCGACGAGAGTGCTAAGAGACAGTTCTGGGAAGACTTAGATGGCCTGATTAAAGTTGTACCTAGTAGTGAGAAGCTTTTTATAGGAGGAGATCTTAATGGGCATGTAGATACTACAAGCGTAGGTTTCAAAGCAGTTCATGGAGGTTTTGTGTATGGTAGTAGGAATCAGGAGGGGGAGGAAGTTCTAGACTTCGCGGTAGCTTTTGACCTGATGATAGCCAACACTTTCTTTAGAAAGAGAGAATCTCATCTAGTGACCTTCAGTAGCGGACAACACTCTAACTAGATTGACTTTATCCTCGCAAGAAGAAAGAACAATCGAGCATGCTTGGTTCGCAAGGTGATACCAGGGGAGTGTGTTGTTTCTCAACATAAGCTTTTGGTGGCAGACTTTCGTTTTCAGGTGCGTGCCCGTAGGGATAAACAAGCTAAGATTGAAAGAACAAAGTGGTGGAAACTAAAAGGAGAGACGTCAGAGGTATTCAGGGAAAGGGTTATCAAAGAGGGCTCTTGAAAGGAAGAAGAGGACATAAACATATGGGAGAAGATGGCAACCAACATTCGGAAGATGGCCTCAGAGGTGTGTGGAGTAAGCAAAGGAAGTGGAGACGAGGCTAAAGATACTTGGTGGTAGAACGAGGAAGTCCAAAGGGCTATTAAGAAGAAAAAAGAATGTTATAGACGCTTGTACCATGACAGGAGTGTGGACAACATAGAGAAGTACAAGATGGCAAAGAAGACTACAAAGTGAGCTGTAAGTGTGG